TCCCTCCAAATGCAAGACCACAGGGCCCTCATTCTCAGGGACTAGGCCATACCTAGGGGTAGGGCTGGTGTGGCATTGGTGACAAAAAACTCCTATATCTACCAGAGTAAGTCACATAAATATACATGCAGGGCCCAGTCATGGTGGCTCAAACCTGTAATCCCAACACTTTGGGAGGCCGAGGTGTGTTGATCACTTGAGGCCAGGAGTTCAAGACCAGCCTGGCCAACATGGTGAAACCCGTCTCTACTAAAATTACAAAAATTAGCCGGGCTTGGTGGCGCATGCCTGTAATCATAGCTACTCAGGAGTTTGAGACAGGAGAATCGCTTGAACCCAGGAGACAGAGGTTGCAGTGAACTGAGATTGCACCACTGCACTCCAGCCTGGGCGACAGACTCAGACCCTATCTCAAAAAAAATAAAAATAAAAAGACACAAGCAGAATTGGTTCTGTGAACCCCAGTGTTGGGCAAACAGTGTGTAAAGGGCTGGCCTTGGAACATAGGCCTGAAGAACATGGACAGGGGTCTCTCCTGAGAAATGCTGCAAGGGTCTGTCCAGTCCCAGGTGCCTGTGGCCCAGCTGCTATCTCAGTGTGTCCCTCCAAAATTCATGTGGAACCCTAATCTCCGTTGTGGTGGTAATAAGAGATGTGGCCTTGGGGAGGTGATTAAGTCACGAGGGCTCTGCCTTCATGAATGGGATTACCGTCCTTAGAAAAGAGGCTGAAGAGAGCTGCCCAGCCCCTCCCACCATGTAAGGATGCAGCAAGAAGACCTCAGGACTGGTGTGGTGCTCATGCCTATAATCCCAGCACTTTGGGAGGCCGAGGCGGGTGGATCACTTGAGGTCAGAAGTTTGAGACCAGCCTGGTCAACATGGTAAAACCCCTACTAAAGTCTCTACTAAAATAAAAAAATTAGCCGGGGATGGTGGTGCGTGTCTGTAATCCCAGCTACTTGGGAGACTGAGGCACGTGAATCACTTGAATCCGGGAGGCAGAGGTTGCAGTGAGCCAAGATCACACCACTGCACTCCAGCCTGGGTGACAGTGTGAGACTCTGTCTCAAAAAAAAAACAAAAAAAAGGCGTCATATTTGAAGCAGAGAGCAAGACCTTACCAGACACTGAATCCACTGGTGCATTGATCTTAGACTTCCCAGACTCCAGAACTGTAAGAAATAGATTTCCAGGCTGGATGCAGTGGCTCATGACCGTAATCCCAGCACTTTAAAAGTCAGAGGTGTGAGATTGCTTGAGCCCAGGATTTTGAGATCAGCCTGGGCAACACAGAGAAACCCAGTCTCTAAAAATATATACATATAAATTAGCCATGCTGGCATACGCCTGTAGTCCCAGTTACTTGGGAGGCTGAGGTGGGAGGATGGCTTGAGCCTGGGAGGCAGAGGTTGCAGTAGGCTGAGATTGCACCACTGCACCCTAGCCTGGGTGACATTTCAAGACCCTGCCTCTAAATAAGTAAATAAATCCCTTGTTTATAAATTACCCATTTAAGATATTTTGTTAAAGCAGCAGGAGCAGATGAAGACAGGCCTGATTCCCAGAACTCTTCTCAGGACCTCAAACAGGCCTGGAAAATGAGTCAGGAGAACATTGAGGGTAGACTGCGGAAGGATTTGACCCCATGCTGTTCCTCCAGCCAATAAGCCCAATTTCACCACTCCTGCCACCCTCAACCAAACACAGTGCAAAGCGGGAGCTGGACTCCTTCTCAAATGTCCTCCTGTCTCCAGGCCATGTCTGCCTTTAGCCTGTCTGGAGCTGGGGGCTTAGGAAATAGGAGAGGGGCTGGGCACAGTGACTCATGTCTGTAATCCCTGCACTTTGGGAGCCCGAGGTGAGAGGATCGCTTGTGTCCAGGATTAGAGACCAGTGTGGGCAACATGGTGAGACCCTGTGTCTACAAAAAAGAAAAAAGAGAGCCAGGCATGGTGGCTTACACCTGTAATCCCAGCACTTTGGGAGGCTGAGGTGGGTGGATCACAATGTCAGGAGTTCGAGACCAGCCTGACTAACATGGTGAAGCCCTGTCTCTACTAAAAATACAAAAATTAGCCTGGCGTGGTGGCCTGTGCCTGTAATCCCAGCTACTTGGGAGGCTGAGGCAGGAGAATCGCTTGAACCCGGGACGCAGAGGTTGCAGTGAGCTGAGATTGTTTCACTGCACTCCAGCCTGGGCTACAGAGCAAGATGCCATCTCAAAAAAAAAAAAAAAAAGAAAAGAAAGAAAAAAAATTAGCCTGGCATGGTGATGCGTGCCTGTGTTCCCAGCTATTCCGGGGCTGAGGTGGGAGGAGGGAGGATCGCTTGAACTCAGGGGGCAGTGAGCCGTAATTGCACCACTGCATTCCAGCCTGGACAACAGAGTGAGACTCTGTCTCAAAAAAAAATTATAGAAAGGGAAATAGAAGAGGGAGGTCTTCCGGGAATGACAGTGACATTCACAGGCACACACATCCAGCGAATGCACACGGATGCCCTGGCTCAGGTCCACATTTCTATATGCCTGTGCTCTCACACTTGTACATGTACGTCCTGTCTTATCCATTCAGTCATCCAACAGGTATTCATGGAGCTACCACTCTGCCCCAGGCACTGGCTAGGAGCCAGTGTGACAATGTTGAATGAGACAGACCTAGACCAGTGGTCCCAGCCTCCATGGAGCATACAGCCTAGCAGGAGAGAGAGATATATATATACGTTAAACAAATATTTACACAAAATTGTTAAAGACAGTCAAATCATATTAAGGGCCATGGTGGAGAAAATTCCACTGGACGGTTAGAAGAGAGCAGGGGGTCTGCACAGGGTCTTCACTTAGAGTTACGCAGGCTGCACTGCACGAGAAGTCTCCAGGAGAGCACCACCTGTGGCTGCGCCTTTGTGGCAGAAGGGGTGCCTTTCTTTTTTAACTCTCTCAAAGGCACTTCCTGGGCTGGCAGTGTCCTGAGGTGGTGGTGGCTAGCTTAGTCTGGGGGTCAGTTTCACATCTACTATCTCGTATGCCTAATCTCATGAGGTTTCAAGCCCAATTTCAAGGTCAATCTGGCTTTCACACAGAGTACTGCACAACACCCTACCATACACTCACACAATCATCTACACTACTCGACGTCACACACAGGCTCACACAGGCTCCAGCGCACTATAACAGACATGACTTTCACACACACTTGAAGATCCTCACAATCACACGAAGATCCTTACACATGTACTGTCACATGCATACACAGCCTCACCAAAGTCACACATAAGCCTTCATATCCCATCACATATGCAGTGTCTTACACATCATGCCACCCATATACTCATTGCTTTATTACAGCCACACACAGTTCCTCACACCCTATTACACACACACATGCGTGCGCGTGCACACATGCACACAGAGTGTCCTGTACACGCAGACGGTCATGCTCCTGTTAGGCTTCTGGAGACAGGCATGTGCAGCCCCTGATCACAGCTAAATGTCAGCGAGTCCCTCTCCTCCCAGTTAGAGATGAATTGTTGCTCAGGAGATATTTCATCCTTAATGCCTCCTGCTTGAACTGGAGCATGCATCTCGGGGAGGTTACGTTTCTCCCAATCCGTCTGCTGTCCCCCGGCTGGCTCAGGGAGCTGCCCTCGTGCCTCTCAGCTTTCATGGGGGGAGAGAAGGGCTCCCTCTCTCCTTACACCCTCTCCCCAACCCAACCCTTTCCTCCCACAGCTCAGCTCCAGGAAAAAGAACAAAGCCCAGGCAGGAGGGAACAAAGCCCGTTCCGCAGCTCCCAGCTCAGGAGGTGTCCCCACAGCCCAGGGGCCATAACCTGGCCACACCCAACCCCCACGCCAGCTGCTGACTGCAGTCCTGGCCAACACAGACACCATGGCCTAGAGGAGAGCTGAGGGTAGAGAGGTAGGATATGGTATTGACAAGACTGGCATTGAGAGACAGCCGCTCTTAAGGGTCAGTCTGCTCTTACATCCCTTCTTGTCATAAACGAACAAAAAAAGCATGATTGATGCCAATATGAGGGTAAATGAATACAATCTTTCAGGAGGGAAGTTGGGTAAGAAGTATCCTCAGCCTCCACAAAGTTACCCCCTTAGCCGGAGCAATGAGTAGGAATGTATTGTAAGGAAATAAACAGGAATAGCCCAGATGATTTAACTTCAAGAGGCTCATCCCAGCCTTGTTTATAAGAGTGAAAAATTGGAAACAACATAAGCATCCCACAGTAGGGACTGGCAGTGGTACAACCATCAACAGAATACAATGTAGCCATTAAAATGATGGTGTGGAGGAATGTTTAGCATCATTGAAAGACATTCACAACATAACATGGAGTAAAACAAGCAGGTTGCAAAACGGTATGTATACTAAATGCAATGTGGTAGCCTGGATTGGATCCTGGAATAAGAAAAAGACATTAGTGGGAAAACTGCTGAAAGCCAAATGAAATCTGAAGTTCAGTGAATAATAACATACCAATGCTGATTTCTTTTTTTTTTTTTTTTTTCTCTTGAGGTGGAGTCTCGCTCTGTCACTAGGCTGCAGTGCAGTGGTGCGATCTTGGCTCACTGCAACCTCCACCTCCTGGGTTCAAGCGATTCTCCTGCCTCAGCCTCCCAAGTAGCTGGGATTACAGGCACGCACCACCATGCCCAGCTAATTTTTGTATTTTTAGTAGAGTCAGGGTTGGCCAGGCTGGTCTCAAACTCCTGACCTCAGGTGATTCACCTGCCTCAGCCTCCCAAAGTGCTGGAATTACGGACATGAGCCACCACGCCCGGCCAGTCTTCACACATTTTAAGCTGACCATAGGCTTGTGGTCGATCATTCAGCCCAGTTTCAGACAGATGCTCTGTGTGCCTTCAAGGTTCGGGGGTGCTTTAAGGAGAGTGGCTTTGAGGTCCCTATGATGGCATGAAGGAGAATCTGGGGCAGACATCCCCAGGCAGGAGCGAGATGTGAGGAGGACAGTCTGGTTTTCTCACCTGATAAGGCGACTCGGTCTCAGCGATACGCTGTTTCCGTGTGGCTGCTGGAGGCGAGGGGTGTCATGGGGTGCAGAGACAGGCAGAGTGGTGAGTTGGGGCTGTTTTGTCGTTTCCAAATCAGCACCTCCATTACCATCCCTTTGGATGTTTGGGATCTGGGAACTTACCCGACCCCCCTCCCCCATCCAGGCACATCCTCAGGTTTTCTCCTGCCAGCCCCACTCACCCTCCGAAGCCCCTCGCCCCCGAGGGACCAGCCGGCCCAGGAAGTACACCGCCAGGGCAATAAGCACTGTCAGCACCAGGTCCCCCAGCACGATTCCAGCCAGCACGCCCGGGCTCACCGCGGAGCAGCTGCATTCTGTGGCACAGGGGTCAGGGGAGGTGAGCGTGTGTGCACTGGGAATAGTGGGGAGCAGGTCAGCGGGCGGTGGGGTGGGGGAGAGGTTTGGGAAGGGTGAGGGAGGGACGGAGACAGGGAGGTCTTTGGGAGGTAGGGAGAGGGACTGCTGGGTCTAGGCCTACCGCTCTGGGCCTGAGCCTGGACAGGACAGAGACCTGAGGAGGAAAAAGAAGGTAAACTGAGGTACAGAGCTATGATGGGGGTAGGGGGACAAGTTTAGAAGCCAGGGAGGGTGGATTCTGACAGCCAGGAGGTTACCCAGGGGGAGAATGGGCCTGGCAGGACTCGGGGGCTGGTGTCTGGACCACCAGAATGTGTGTGTTACTTCTGCACAACTTGTCCTGTGGTGACACCCTTAGATGTCCCCTCCTCCCTGCTGCTTATAGTGGAGGGCAAACCTTGGGGGCTCAGGCTGTGGGAGAAAGCCACAGGCTCTGGGAGGCCGGGCACCTGCTCCCGTCCCAACACCCCGTTTTGGTTCTCTCATTCCACCCTGCTCCCTGCCCTGTCCCAAGCTGAGCCCAGGGACCGGGGAGGCAGCCACGGAAGCCCCCAACTCACCACCCACAGCTAGCAGGAGAGGCAGGAGCAAGAGCCTGCTGCAGGGTTCAAGGCCCCCCATGAAGCCGGATGCTGCTGGACACCACACTGTAAGGGCCGGTGGGACGTGGCGCAGCGTCCAGGCAAGTGAAGGAGGAAGTCTGAGGTGGGTGGTGGCAGAAGGGAGGAGGGGACAGGGGAGGAGGGGAGACAGAAACAAAACCCAAGAAAGAATCAGGCCCAGTCACCCAGAGGCCATGCCCCAGCTCCCCCAACCAACAACTGGACATGAAGGGCAAAGGGTGCATGAAGTGCAAACTTGACCTCCACCCCCAATCGGGATCAGACATCGTCTTAACAGGAGGGTCAGTGTAATGACCTTCGTCTGGTTAGATTAAAACCAGCTCTGCCTCTTCCTGACTGGGCAACCTTGAGTAAGTCACTCAACTTTTTTTTTTTTTTTTTNCCTGCCTCAGCCTCCCAAGTAGCTGGGATTACAGGCACGCACCACCATGCCCAGCTAATTTTTGTATTTTTAGTAGAGATGGGTTTCTGAGAGGATCACTTGAGCCTAAGAGTTTGAGACCAGCCTGAGAAACATAGCGAGACCCCATTTCTTTTTCTTTTTCTTTTTCTTTTTTTTTGAGACAGAGTCTCTCTCCATCTCCTAGGCTGGAGTGCAGTGGCGGCTCACTGCAACCTCCACTTCCCGAGTTCAAGCAATTCTTCTGCCTCAGCCTCCCGAGTACCTGGGACTACAGGCACATGACAGCACGCCTGGCTAATTTTTTTTTTTATTTTTAGTAGAGACGGGGTTTCACCACGTTGGTCAGGCTGGTCTCAAACTCCTGACCTTGTGATCCACCTGCCTCAGCCTCCTAAAGTGCTGGGATTACAGGTAGGAGCCGCTGCGCCCTACCCCCGATTTCTTAACTCTGATATATGTACTACGGTAATGCAAGATGTTAACATCAGAGGAAACTGTGTAAGAGGTGTATGGAAACTCTGTACTAGCTTTGCAAGTTTTCTGTATATCTAAAATTATTCCAGAATTACCAAAATTCCAAAACGGTTTATTTTTAAAACCATTGTATATATATGTAATGTGATCTTCATTTTAGTTTTTTTAAAAAAGCATGTATAGCCCTTCCTCCATGTGAGGACACAAACTAGAAGCTTCCATCTCTACTAAAATACGAAAATTAGCTCAGTGTGGTGGTGCTCTCCTGTAGTCCCAGCTACTCAGGAGGCTGAGGCAGGAGAATCGCTTGAGCCTGGGAGGCGGAGGTTGCAGTGAGCCGAGACTGCACCACTGCACTCCAGCCTGGGCAACAGAGTGAGACTCTGTCTCAAAAAAATAAAATAAAATAAAGAAAGATAAAGAAAGGAAAAGAAAAAGGGCCCTTACGCAACACCAAATCTGCCAGTGCCTCGATTAGAAAGGATACCTCTATCCAGATCTGGGAGAGTATTCAACAACATATTACCGCTGATAATTTCTGAGGAATGGAATTATGGGCCATTTTTATTTTATTTAAATTATTTGAATGTTCCTTTGTGCAATAAAGGGACATATACCACTTGTTTGAATAAAAAAGAAATCAAACCTGAATGCCACTAGGGATGCTGAGAGCAGCTTCATTCCCAGCCTCCCCAGCCAGCCTCCCCTGACCCCAGCATGGGTTACTGAAGCCCTGAAAGTCTCAAGCCCAGCCATTCTGGACGGGATCTTTCACTTCCTGTCCAGCCACTAACTGGCATGACTCTCACCGCCTTCCCTCCCTGGAAACTCCAGAATTTCAGAATCTGAACTCTTCTTTGAGCCCCATCCTCTCTCTTCTCACCTCATTCATTCCTGTTGACTTGCTCTCCAGTCCCTGAAACCCTCTGCTTTCTCTCAGTCCCTCACCCCTATTCTGGCTGTACTTTCTCCCTTCTTACCCTGGTTCCATAGCGGCCACTTCAACCCTGTGCTTGCTGCCATCCTGCCTACCCCACTCCAGCCCTAAGCAACACTGCCATTTACTTTTCCGGCTCCCATTCCTGGGCACGCTAGAGCAGGTGAAAAAACTGACTCAACATGCTGCCTCAACTCACCCCTTATTAGCAAGTGCAAAACACTTTCTCTGCATCTGTAAGTGACGCCCTGTTACAATTCCACAACCGCTACAGACTTCCTCTGCAAGCTTTCAGCTCCCTGCTCTCCTTCTTAGAGGACGGTCCCGCTAACTTGGCCAAAAATATGGAGCCCATTCCTCAAATAACGTACCCCTCTCTACTTGTCCCCAAGCCTGCCAGTCCACCTCAGAACCTCCCTGGATCATCACTTTCCCTTTCTTCCCTCCTGTCTCTGAGGAGGAAGAGTTCCTTCTTCTTATCGAGAACTCAACATCTCCTGTGCCTTTCCAGAACTTTCTCCATCAAGCATCTTCTCCTATACCTTGTCCATCTTGGCTCTCCCTCCCTCCTTTCTCCTGGACTTTTTGTTTTTATTTTTATTTTTTTTCATTTTCATTTTAACTTTTTTGGACAGGGTCTCACTCTGTCGCCCAGGCTGGAGTGCAATGGTGTGATCTCGGTTCACTGCAGCCTCCACCTCCCAGACTCAAGTGATTCTTGTGCCTTAGCCTCCCAAGTAGCTGGGATTACAGTTATGTGCCACCACACCTGGCTAATTTTTTGTATTTTTGTTAGATATGGGGCTTCACCATGTTGCCTAGGCTGGTCTTGAACTCCTGAGCTCAAGTGATCCTCCTGCATCAGCCTGTCAAAGTGCTGGCATGAGCCACCACAGGTGTGAGCCACCACACCTGGCTTCTCCTGGACTTTTTGAATGAGTAATCACCATAATCACCTCTAGCTCTTTGCCATTCAACTCTTCATTCAATACACCTACCACACGGTAGTCTCTAACAGTCGTCAGTGACCTCCAAATAACCACCTGCTGGCCATTTACTGTCTTCCTCACTGATTGACCTGCACAATTTGATACTAATTCTCTCCTTAAAAACATCCATTCAGGAGGCTGAAGTGGGCAGATCACTTGAGGTCAGGAGTTTGAGACCAGCCTGGTCAACACGGTGAAACCCCATCTCTACTAATAATACAAAATTTAGCTGGGTGTGGTGGTGTGCACCTGTAATCCCAGCTACTTGGGAGGCTGAGGTATGAGAATTGCTTAAATGTGGGAAGTGGAGGTTGCAGTGAGCCGAGATTGCACCACTGCGCTCCAGCCTGGTGACAGAGTAAAACTGTGTCTCAAACAAAAACAAATAAAAAAAACCCACCAAAACTTCCATGATCTCCAAACCACTCCCTTGATTTCCTCCTAACTTCCCAACCACTCCTGTTTAGTCTCCTCTGACTTCTTTCCTTCCCCCATGTTCAGGAAGATGGGCATCTCCCAGGCTTCTTTTCCAGTCTTGAACTACCATTCCCTCTCTCTAGCAAGCTCTCTACTTCCCAGGTTTCAATGAGCTGTCTGCTTGGAAGAATCTCTGACAGCTTCTGACTTCCAATCTGGAATATCCAGCTTCCTGCAGGGCATGTGTGAGTGAACGTCCCAGGAGCACTTCAGACTCACCACAAACACAATCATGATCTCTATTCCCTATCCCCAACAAGCCCCGCCTTCAGACTTCCACCATTCTTTCAAACAATCAAGCCTGGCCAGCCATGGTGGCACATGCCTGTAATCCCAGCATTTTGGGAGGCCAAGGGAAGAGGATTGCTTGAGCCCAGGAGTTTGAGATCAGCCTGGACAACATAGTAAGACCCTGTCTCTATTTAAAATAAACAAAGAACAATCAAGTTTGTTTGTTT